CACTGTTCAACATCTTCATCAGTGACTTGGACGAGGGGGTAAATAGCACCCTGTTCAAATTTGCTGATGACACTAAGATGTGGGGGGCTGTGGGCACGCTAGAAAGGAGGAATAGGCTGCAATCAGACCTAGACAGGTTACAGGGGTGGGTGGATGAGAATAGGATGGGATTCAACACCGACAAGTGCAAGATGATGCACCTGGGGAGGATCAACCGGCACCATATCTACAGGTTGGGGAACTCCCTTCTTGTCAGTGCAGAGGCAGAAAAGGATCTTGGAGTCATCATTGACTCCAAGATGAACATGGGCCGGCAGTGTGGGGATGCAGTCAGGAAGACCAACCATACCTTGTCATGCATTCACAGATGCATCTCAAGCAGGTCCAAGGAGGTGATCCTCCCTCTCTATGCGGCACTGGTCAGGCCACAGCTAGAGTACTGCGCCCAGTTCTGGGCACCACACTTCAAGAGGGATGTGGACAACATGGAGAAGGTCCAGAGGAGGGACACTCGCATGATCGGGGGAGCAGGGCAGGACCTATGAGGAAACGCTACGGGACCTGAACCTGTTCAGCCTCCACAAGAGAAGGCTGAGGGGGGATCTAGTTGCTTGTTACAAACTAGTCAAAGGGGACCAGCAGGCACTGGGGAAGTCCCTATCCCCCCAAGCACTATCAGGAGTGACCAGGAATAACGGTCACAAGATGGCAGAGGGTAGATTTAGGCTAGATGTCAGGAGGCGCTACTTCATGGTCAGGGCGGCTAGGATCTGGAACCAACTTCCAAGCGAAGTGGTGCTGGCTACTACCCTGGGGGTCTTTAAAAGGAGGCTAGATGTACACCTTGCTGGGGTCGTTTGACCCCAGTGCTCTTTCCTGCCATGGCAGGGGGTCGGACTTGATGATCTGACCTTAGAAACTATGAAACTATAAACAGTGTTTACTTTCGTTTCCTGTCGCAGCACCTCAGGCCTTAGAAAATGGCTTGGCGGGCTGCATGGCAGCCCGCGGGCCTTATGTTTGACAAGCCTGCTCTACATAATGCTGTTTGTCTGGCTGAAGGAAGCACTTTTTAATTATTCACAGAGCCACATGTTGTGAGACAAAAAAGAAAAACAAATTAGGCAAAAGTCGCTGCCACCTGTTTTATCTTAGACTTTGACACCAGCTCTGTCTCTAGATGATAAGTTAGTTGAGACCACGCTGGAATTGCTTAGACTCTTGCCTGACTAATCACAAATGAAGATGCCCACAGGAGAAACAATGTGGAGAAAGCTGTTAGACAGTCAGGATAGTTTAGTGAATTGGTCGCTGATCTGAGAACTGGATTCTATTCCCAGCCCTGCATCTATCCTGGGGCTTCCGCCAACATCAAAATGTTTGCAAAAGTGCTTCCCCACCTTCCCCAAACACACACAATTGACACTGCTATGCCAGAAAATTTTCTAAAGTAGTCCTGGCCTTAGATGTCATGCTTCTCTGATTTAAAACATTCAACAAAGATGCCATTACCAACTGTAGCGTTGTTAGTTTGTGAGGATGCCTGTCTACTCAAATGAAGCCAGTAAAAAATAATAGCCATCATATGGAACTGATTTCCAGGAACTAAATTCTGTGGTAGATGTGAACTAATAAACTAGAAATAAAAGCCCCAGCAGCCATTTAATTAATATGAAGTCAGCTGTTTCTAAATGGTCCCCATGCAGTAGCTTAAATGTTAAAAACAGCAGACACAACTTCATAATTCCTTGTACATGCTCATCAGGGGAAGCATAGACCCAAAGATTCCTAATGTTACTCTATCTCCAAATTAGAGCCAACATAATCTGTCTTTACAGTCTGGAACATGCATCATGTTACAGCCTTTTCAAGTCCCCATTATCTAACCTGCTTCAATGGTGTAGATAAGCTCTGCGTTTTCTCCTTTGTCTTTGTCCAAGGCAGTGACCTGCAGAACAGCAGATCCAATAGCTGCAGATTCAAACATGGAGGCTTCATACAAAGGACTGGTAAAGTATGGACTGTGATCGTTGGAATCTTCCACATTTATGATAACTCTGGCCAGGTTTCTCCTATATGGGAACTCCTGATCCCGAACCTACAGAAAAAAATGGAAAAGGAATGTCTTGATAATGTTTTATTAGCACTTAATTAATAGAAATAATAAGAGTTCTGACAATACGTTCAGTGATGCCCAATAAAAAGAAGAATTTTTTTTTCCTACCTCAAAGAACTTACAAATTGAAAGACAGCAATCCAGAAGAGATAGGACACAGTAAGAATTCACAAAAGGGGAAGGGCTTAGAGGTTTCTTCCTTATAAGAGGGGTTTGCCATTCGTATAAAATAGCATATAGTGCCTTATATTCAAAATGTGAATTTTGAAACCAGTGAAAAATATTTCTGTCATGTCTTATTTGATGTTTGGTCTTATGCTGTGCCAAAGGCTCTCTCTGACTTCTGACGAACACAACATATTTTGTATTTGTCATGCCCTTTGCTGCCAATACAGAATGGGAACAAATCATCACAACATATGTTGTATGCAAGCCTACCCACAAAGACCAGGTATGTGTCTATCTAATCATGTGTGTGTAAATACCCAGGGTGTGCCTACAAGTGTATGTTGAGTTTTGAATTAGCAAATATGTACGTACAGTTTTGAAGACCATGGAGGCAGTGACCACTTCCAACTTATGTTGGCATTCATAGTAGTTAAAGCTGTCACCTTGCTAGATGTGGCCTTTGAATGCTCTCATGCTCAGGCTGATAATGCCAGTGTTGGTTGCAGGGAAGTCCTGCCATCTGGCATAATAAGATGATCCTACACCATTTTATTTTTCTTCTAAAAAGTACACAAACCACTGCATCCTGTGGAAGCCAAGCATGCAGTGCCACCTTTATCTTCCCTTCTCTCTGAAATTCCTCCTGCTCCTGTCATTTTCTACATACCAAAAGACTGCCATCTTGCATTGTACATTCAAGCTCCCCACCCCCTTGAACTCCGCCTCTCTGAAAGTGAGAAGCCCAGTAGCAGTATGAGGCAAAGGCTGCTTATGCCCAAAGCTAGCCCCGCATCTAACATGTCATACGGTAGTGCTTCAAAGGGTTTGTCCTGTAGGGTTCTCACGTGGTTAAGGGAAATGCGTAGATTATAGTGTTTGAACTAATTGAGATTTTTTTTTATTAACCTTCACTTCATAATATGCAACCTTCACTTCAAAGCAAAGCAACTTTTGCTCTGTAATTTAGGCACATTGCACACACAAACCAATAATTAATTTTTCCCCCTCATGCTCAATGTTAGGAAATGCAGCTGAAAGCTGCTTTTATAGGAATATCTCCTGCTCAGAAATAAGCTTATATTAGTAAACTAAAAAATCAGAATGGTGTGCTTCCAAGGCTACAGTTTTGTGTATGGCAAGAAAGCAATTTATCTTCTTCTGAATGCCTTCTCAAATAACTTTTAGTTTTTCTTCAGAAATTCTGAAAATTAGCTTGGATGAAAGGACCAGACATAAAGAGATTATAATATTTTCTGCTCCCTCTCCCTCAAAATGGCAAGGCATTTTACATTAGATACAATGCATTCATAATAAGACTCAAAAAGCCTAACTACAAAAATGTAAAGTAAATGCATCTCAGCAGTGCAGGAAAGATTAGATTAATAATTGCTTACCACAGTGAAATTGCTTACCTCTGCTTATCCAAAGAGTAAAGTGTATGTGCACCTGAAACAAAAGAAACTGTGATCTGAGCACCAAGGAAGCATTCCAGTCTTACCATTACATTAAGGATGTGCTTATCTTGAGCTTCATGGTCTAATCTCTCGGCAGTGTAGAGTACCCCTGTGCTGGGGTCGATTCTGAATTTCCTCACGCTGACGGAGTCAATACTGCTATGAATAGTATAGCTCAACTTATGTTTCTCATCTCTGTCTATAGCTTCAATTTGCAGTATCTCGGTATCAGGAAGTATGTCCTCCGAAATTGTGACATCATAACTTGGGTGAGGGAATTCTGGGCCATTATCATTATTATCCAACACCTTGATAAGAACCTACAGTTAATAAAAGACAAGTAAATAGAGCAACAGTTGCTGACTGTTACTGAAGTCTAGTCAGTTTACTAACGGGGCACCTGCAGAAGTACAATTTATATCAAAGAACTGTACATTACATTATTTATATTACATACTAGGAATAAATGGATAGAAAAGCATCACTTAATGTTAAATCGTTCTCTTTGCAATCAAATGAAATAGCCAGTCTGTTCTTTGAAAAGAAAACTACTCTATAAAATCTATGTAGACAACATGGGTTAAAGGGTCTACAGAAGAGGCTCTTGATACTTGATTCCTAGCAATAACCAAAATTACTTAACACATTACATGTTTGAATCACTCTTGAGACATTAAGTGTGAGGGTTACCAGTTGTGTATTCATTCCAGAGGTTTTTATTTTTTTGCTTTTCCATACAATCAAGGCCATAACACTGAATATTTTCATGCTGTTTAAATCCGTTCTCCTACCAGCGTGAATGCTTATAGTATTCTGGGCCTCACAAATTACATTGCGGTATACTATCTGTACAGTACATTTGCATTGAGACACATCAGTGGTGCATTCTGAAAATGATGCTCTTTTACAATTGTGTGAAAAGTGATCATTCTGAGACAGAAAAGAAGATGACGACAAATGTCCTGATGACAATTCAAGGCTACCAAGATTTAAGCAGGTTAAGTCAGAGCATGTTTCCAAGGGCACTGAGAACCAAGAAGCCTTATGTAGAAATACACATCTTTTTATTATGAATAATTCACTTGCAATTCTGCCCCTGTCTTGGCTGTGATGATATTGTCAGGCTTTATTGCAATGCCTTTGTACTGCTTGAAAAGCTGAAAAGTCACTGAACTATTCTCCTAAAATCTCTTAAAGCTTGGTTACATTAGCTGAAAAACTTTTAGTCCTGGATGGGCAGCTGATGTGCTGCTGAGATTGCTGGTAATTTCACTGATGGTAACATCTCACCTTGTCGTCTCACCTTTTCAATTGTATACATCTGCTGTCACTCCTCATAGACTTTTAGATTGTGAACTTTTAGGGATGGGACCTATATATATATTTAATTGTCTGTGTACTTCCTAAAACAGGGATGTCAAACTTACCCCATCTCCCAGGCTGACTCTGGACTATGGAGTTACTTGCAGGCTAGATCAAGACGTGATGGCTGGTGTGAGTGGCAACAAGAGCAGTTATTGCACCCATTGCACTGACAGTCATGCCCAACAGGGCTTCATGGCCTAGATTTAGGCAGCTAGTTCCATGCCTGAATTTCCAGCTCCTCTACCATCCCCACAGGCTTCAGACACCATAAATTTGACACCCATGTCCTAGAACTATCCCTGATTATCACTTAGAGAGGCCCCCTGCTACAAATGATTAATAATCGTCATCACTGAGCTTTCAGAATTTCACCATGATATATTCACAAATGTATGCAAATTTAATCTGGTTGTGTGTTTATCACCAGCAGAAAGATCAATATCCATAGGAAAAGTTTGATTGAAATCCTGTTATGTGCTATCAACTACTTCTAGTTATATCATGACAGGAGACCCCCATGAGGATGCCAAGGAAAAATCTGTCTAACCCTGAAATGCACAAAGTAAGTGAAGCCGAATGTTCTTGGTGCTCAGGGAGGAGGAGGAGGAAGAATCCCTGCTGCAAATCGTGTGTACGGAACTCTACAGAATTTTTACCAAAAGAAGTAGAGACCATCAATATATATACACCACCGGACCAGGAGCATGTGGTGGATGAGGCTTTCTTCAAACAGCTAGCAGAAGTTTCCCAGTCATAGGCCCTGGTTCTCATGGGGGACTTCAGCCACCCTGACATCTGCTGGAGGGCAATACAGCAGTGCGCTGGCAATCCAGGAAGTTTTTGGAGAATGTTGAAGACAATGTCCTGGTGCAAGTGTTGGAGAGGCCAACTAGCTGCTAGGCTCTTCTTATCCTGCTGCTAACACAGGGAAATAGTGGGGAAAGTAAAAGTGGATGGCAATATGGGCAGCAGAGACCACAAGATGATTGATTTCAGGGTCCTGAGGAAAGAAAGGAAGGACAGCAGCAGAGTAAGGACCCTGGGCTTCAGAAAAACAGACATCGGTTCACTTAGGGAACTGATGGGGATCCCAGGGGAGGTCAGTCTGAGGAGGAAAGGAGGCCAGGAAAACTGATTGTATTTTAAAAAACTTTACTGAAGGCACAGGAATGAACCATTCCAATGTGCAGAAACACTAACAAGTATGGCAGAAGACCAGCTTGTCTTGGCAGGAAACTCTTCAGTGAGCTACAACCCAAAAAGGAAGCTTACAAAAAGTGGAAACTTGGACAAATAACTAGGGAGGAGCATAAGAGTATTGCTCAGGCATGCAGGAATTAAATCAGGAAGGCCAAAGTGCAATAGAAGTTGCAGATAGTAAAGGATGTAAAGGGAAACAACAAGGTTTTCTACAAGTATGTCAGCAACAAGAGGAAGATTGGGGAAAATGTGGGTCCCTTACTGAATGGGGGAGGCAACCTAGTGACAGGTGATGTGGAAAAGCCTGAAGTGCTCAATGCCTTTTTTACCTCAGTCCTCATGACAAGGTCAGCAACCAGACTACTGCATCTGGCAGCAAAATCTGAAGAGGAGGTAAGTAGTCGATAGCAGTGAAAGAACAGGGTAGGGACTATTTAGAAAAACTAGACACTTACAAGTCCATGGGTCTGGATGCAATGCATCTGAGAGTGCTGAGAAAGTTGGCCTATGTGATTGCAAAGTCACCAGTCATTATCTCTGAAGACTCGTGGCAGTTGGGGGAGATCCCAGACAACTGGAAAAGGGCAAATATAGTGCCCATCTTTGAGAAAGACAAAAAGGAGGATTCTGGGAACTACCGACTGGTCGGCCTCACTTCAGTCTCTGGAAAGATTATGGAGCAGGTACTCAAAGAGTCCATTTCTAAGCACTTGGAGGAGGTGGTGATTAGAAATAGTCAGCATGGATTCACCAAGGGCAAGTCATACCTGACCAATGCCTTCTGTGATGAGATGACTGCCTTTAAAGGTGTGGGGAAAGCAGTGGGTGTGATATACCTTGAATTTAGCAAGGATTTTGATAGCTTCCCCCAACTTTCTTCCAAGCAAGCTAAGGAAGTATGGGCTGGATAAATAGACTGTAAGGTGTATAGAAAACTGGCTGGATCATCAGGCTTAAGTGGTAGTAATCAATGGCTCAATGCTACCTGGCAGCTGGTATCAAATGGAGTGCCCCAGAAGTCAGTCAAGGGGCTGGTTTTGTTTAATAACTTCATCAATGATCTGGAAGATGGCATAGAGTGCACCCTCAGCAAGTTTGCAGATGACACCAAGGTGGGGGGAGTAGCAAATATGCTAGAGGGTAGGGCTAGGGTTCAGAGAAACCTTGATAAATTGGAGGACTGGACCAGAAGAAATCTCCTGAGGTTCAATAAGGACAAGTGCAAAATCCTGCACTTAGGACAGAACAGGCTGTGAACCAACTGGCTAAGCAGCAGCTCTGCAGAAAAAGACCTTGGGGTTATAGAGGACAAGAAGCTGAATATGAGTTGTGGACCCTTTTATGAACAGCAGACCCTTTTTGTGGCTGACGGCACACTGGGCTACAGTAATAGGAGTGCTGCCAGCAGATTGAGGGGAGTGATTATTCCCCTCTAGTTGGCACTGGTGAAGCCACGTCTGGAGTCCTGTGTCCAGCTCTGGGCCCCCCACTACAAAAAGAATGTCAACAAATTGGAGAGAGTCCAGTGGAGGGCAACAAAAGTGGTTTAGGGCTGGGGCACATGACTTCTGAGGACAGGCTGAGGGAACTGGTCTTATTTAGTCTGGAGAAAAGAAGACTGAGGAGGGATTTAACAGCAATCTTCAACTACCTGAAGGAGGGCTCCAAGGAGGATGGAGCTAGACTGTTCTTAGGGGTGGCAGATGACAGAACAAGGAGCAGTGGTCTGAAGTTGCAGCAGGGGAAGTTTACATTGGATATTGGGAACAATGTTCTCACTAGGAGGGTGGTGAAGCACCAGAACAGGCTACCCAGAGGGTTGCGGAATCTCCATCCCTGCAGGTTTTTAAGACCAGACTAGACAAAGCCTTGGATGGGACGATATCATTGGGGATGGTCCTGCTTTGAGCAGGAGGTTGGAGTACATGACCTTCTGGCGTCCCTTTGAACACTAATTTTCTATGAGTCTATGAATATATATCCCACAAGGGGAGAGCCATTATTTTAAAAAACAAATGAGAAAAACAAAGCAAAAAACAGTCCACAAGCTGATAGCTGCCCATACTAAATAGACTAATCTATCATGAAAAGGTTATGGAAATACATGATGACTAACTCAGAACCTGGCTAAGAGATGTCACTATAAAATTATGAACTTGTTTGTTTGGTGAATTTCCCAGTTTTCCAGAATACCCCTTCTTACATTGGGAAGTGCCTCGATCTGGCTCTGGTTATTTATCAGGCAAGAACAGTTTATTTCAAAGCTGGATCTAGCCCAATCCACCCACACTTTTTTGCTTTAATGGAGGAAAAAAATTAGTTACACTTTTATGACAGTATTGTTCAAGCAGATGTTGGCCTCAGAGGGATATGAAACCTTAGACATTTGGAAGCCTTTGCTGAGTGCTTTACCAGAAAGAGCATGAGCAATGGCAAACTCCAGTTGCAATGAACCAGCCTGGGAACGGCCTAAAAGACAGTTATAATGAAAAGCCCTGAAAGTCAAAACTGTTCTAAGTGGCTCGGGATTTTAACTGTACATTTGGGAAAGTTTCCTTGTTGGCAGTTTATGGAGTTCTGAGGAAGGAAGGCAGATTAGTATGTATTCTAGTGAGAGAGACACAGTGGTATGATCTGGGAGACGGCGGGGCAGTGGGGAAACAAAGGTGATTCGATCTACAATACTGATGACAAATATCCCTTGCTTATTGCAGGTTTTTGTTGTCTGTATATATTCATACTGCTAAGCAGTGTG